ATGGCCCTATGTCAACAGCAGAGAGACTTCCAAAGTCTGTCCATCACCACTGTAAGCCTGTGCATGCCATGTATCTCCTATTCTTCCATCTTCTCAATGAAAACTCCCAAAGTCATGCTAGATTACTAATACAAGGGGCCAGAAAAATCTCAAGCCCATTTTTACCAGTTTATTTGTCAGGACCATGAAAAGAAGTTATTGAACACTGACCTCAGGAGAGAAAATAAAGGACAGAGAATGATGAGAAGACCCACAGGTGACAGATCTTATAAAATGATGGCCAAAAAAAAAAAAGTCCCATTAAACATGAGAGCTCAAGTTAAATTTCAAAAGAGATGTCCTTGTTTGGACCTAGTATGGGATATAGGGTGAGAAAGGTTAACAGCAGAAGCTCTTCTGAGTTTGATCTGGTTCGGAAAAACAGAAGATCAGGAATAAACAAAGATCAACACAGACAGGTCACATGTGCAGAAAACACTTGGTCCTTTCGGCAACAGAAAAGAGAGATTTGAGATGTGCCACGTAGGTTACCATCACTTCTCTTGGTCTCTCTGATGGCCCAGAGAAGCATTTCAGCAAAGACAAAGTAACCCAAGAACAGCCAATCTCTCCAAGGTCAAGAATTGAAAAGGAAGCTGGACCAATATAAACACAAAGGAGTCAAAATGAAAAAGTATAGAGAGCAGGAGACTGAGAAGTGGATGAAAGATGTTCACCAAAACAATGTGGTCCAAGCCAGATAAAAATTGTAAATGTAGTCATTATCGTTAGGTGGTGTGAGTCAAGTATGACTCATAGTGACCCTATGAACAACAGACCTGAACCCCTGTCCTATCCTGTGCCATCCTCATAATTCCTGACACATCAGAGCCCATTGTGCAGTCACTATGTCAATTCACTTGGTCGAGGGTCATCCTCTCCTTCACTGACCCTCTATCTTTCCGAGTATCATGTTCCACTCCAAGGACCATGTCCCTCCTTGCAACATCGCTGACCCTCTATCTTTCTGACTATCATGTCCTTCCTTCAACATGTCTGAAGTATGTGAGGTGAAACCTCATCATCTTTGTTTGCCAAGAGCACTCTGGCTGCACCCTCTCCAATACATATTTGTTTGTTCTTTTGTTTTGGCTGTCCATGGGATGGTCAGTACTCTTCTCCAACACCACAGCTCAAAGGCACCAATTCGCTCAAAGGCATCAATTCTTCTTCTGTCATCCTTATTCATCATGCAGCTCTCAGATGCATAGCAAGTGACAGGGCTTGAATCAGATGCACTTTAGTCCTCAAAATGACATCATTACTCTTCAGTCATTTAGAGATGTCCCAACACTGTAATTAAATACAAAATAATCACTTCCAAGAACCTTCACAGAAACAACACAAATAAATGGAAGAAACCAAGGAAGAAATGGGGAATCAGAAGTGAAGATTAAATGTGATTTCTGGAGGCTTAGTGGTAATGAGCGACGCTGTCAACCCTCTGAAAACCTGCTGGAGGGTCAGCTATGAGTTTATCCAACTCAAGGGAACATAACAACAACAACAACAGCTTGCAATCACAGAGATGATAGGGGAAATCACCACAAAAGGATTGGACAGTAAACACTGACACTTAGGAACTGTAAAGTGAAGATTAAATCCAATACAAATATTATTGTAAAACAGCAGAATGCAAATTATATACCTTGATGTTATAAAATGATCCCACAAAAATCAGTAGGAAGAGGAGGAAAGAAGAGGAGATGTTGAGTGAGCTTTACTAACTATAAATATATAGTAGTTGAGAGTCAAGAGTTATCACGTAAAACTGGCAAATCATAAAGGAAGACAAGTGAGCTCAAGATTTAAAGGCAAAAAACTAGAAGAGGTGTCACCAACAATAGTGTGGTAAAGAAGGAACGTTCTTGTTCTCCGCCACTTAGTCAGAGGTGACTCACAGCCAAACTCCAGGAGGTTTTCAAAGGCAAATCGCACAGGAGGGAGCGCTGGTGGCTTAGTGGTAAGGAATTACTCCACCAACTCAAAGGTACATGGGTTGAATCCACCAGCTTCTCTGCAAAAGAAAGATGGGTAATCTCCTCCTGTGAGGTTTACTGAAAACCCTCCAGGGGGTCAACTAAGGATCAGTTTCAATTTGACAGCACACAACAACAAATGACTCCTGAGATTACGCATTGCTCTCCTGCAGAGAAGATGATGGGTTTGACCTGCATGCAGTTTACAGGGCAATTCCTTACAACTGATCAACCTAATCTACTTCTTAACAAGGAGAGCATTGAGGTTATTAGATACAATTGCAGTTATGAAAATAACCTCCAAAACAGCCATCTAAACCTTCCCAAGTATCAGAAGAAACATACAGATGCACACACAAATAAAATAAAGATGAGTGCAGGACTGTAAATAGCTATACTTCATTACAAGAATATTGTAGGTTCAATTCCAGAACACTACAATAAAGTGAAAACAAAATCCACACCACTGGGCCAAATGACTGTATTTTAATGTTACTGTTATGTGCCGTTGAGTCAACTGCAATCACAGTGACCCTAAGTACAGTGGGTCTGAACCTTACCCTATCCTGAGCCAACCTTACTGTCTGTGTTACATGTGATCTCATTGCCACAGTCACTGTGTCAGTGCATCTCCACAATCAACACCCAGGGTAACAGTGACCAAGAATTCAAAAGACATATCACACTGATAAACTCTGCTATCAAGGACCCCTTCGAAGTGTTGAGGAGCAAGGATGTCAGTTTAAAGACTAAGGTGTGCCTGATTCAAGCCATGATCCTTTTTAATTACAACCTATGGGAGTTCTGGTGGCCTAATGGTTAGGAGCTTAGCTGCAACCCCAGAGGCATGCAGTTCAAATCCACTAGCTACTCTTCAGGAAATGGTTGAGCAAGTCCTCCCTTACTGCCTCTGAAAATAACGCCTCTGAAAACCTGCTGGAGGGTCAGCTATGGGTCAGCTCCAACTTGAAGGCACATGAAAACAACATGCGTCTGAAAGCTGAACAATAAATCAGGATGACTGAAGAAGAATTGATGTCTTTGAGCTGCGGTGCTGGAGAAGAGTGATGAATATCTCATACACTGCAAAATGAACCAATCAAGATGCCTTGGGGGAAGCACCACCAGGGTGCTCCTTCGAAGTAAGGATGGTGAAATTGCATCTCACATACACTGGGCATGTTGTCAGGAGAGTCCAGTCCTTGGACAAGGGCATCTTGCTGAGAAAGGTAGAGGGTCAGAGAAAGGGAGGAGGATCCCCAACAAGAGGGATTGACACAGTGGCTGTAACAATGGGCTGGAGCTTATCAGGGATTACGAACACTGTATAGAAGAGGTTACGTTTCAGAACTGTTGTTCACAGGGTAATTATGAGTTATAGGCAATTGGACAACACCTGTCAACAACATGTGTATTTAAGGAGCTCTGCTATGCATCAGAGAGCTGGACAATGCCTAAGGATGACAAAAGATCCCTTTGAGTTGTGGTGCTGGAGAAAAGTCTTGAATATATCACGGACCATCAAGACGACAAATACGTCTGTCTTGGAGAGGGTGAAATCAGTCTCTCCTTGGAGACTAGGGTTTTGAAGCTCCACCTCACATACTTGGGGCATGTGGCCAGGAGGGACCAGTCCTTAGAGAGGGACATCATACTTCAAAGGGTGGAAGGACAGCACAGGAGACAAAGACCTCCAGATGAGATGGATTGACACAGTAACTAGGGCAATAGGGGCAGGCATGTCACAGTCAGTGAGACTGGCTCAGGCCAGGGCAGACTTCAGAGCTATTGTACATAGGGTCACCATGAGTCGCAGGCAACTCGATGGCACATAACAACAACTGGGGGCATAGTGCATAATGCATCAAGTTGCTAACCAAAAGGCTAGAAATTGAAATTGGTCGGTCAGTCCCCAGAAGAGAAATGAGGGCATCTCCTCCCATAAAGATTTAGAGCCACAGAAACCCAGAGGAGCGTCTCTATGAAGCCAGACTTGAGCAGTGGGTAAATAGTCTAGCTAGTCTATTACACCCGCAACAAGCTAAGGAAAACATTTCCAATATTGTGAGGCTTGCCAACAAGTGACACAGAGCATAGCGCTTATAGACTCACTCCACACGCACAGGTGTCCATAAAGCTTCAGTGTGTGAAAACAATGGTGAGCCTCCACTCTTCTGACGCTGTAAATAATAATCAGAGGAGACAGCCTATATTCCTCCCAACGTGTCGCTGGTAAGTTTGAACCATCATAGAGCCACAGCTTTGGGGTCAGCAGTGCAACTCCCTACAGAGTCAGCTATCAGAACTCCCTGGTATGTGTGAAGCTCAACAAAACAAGCTATACCTGTCTGTGTGATCACCTATCAAAAAACTTAGTCCTAATAATGCAAATGTTCCAATTTGAGCTAACCAAACTTCACTGGGAAGTTAGGAGGTTGAATAGTCTTCGACAGCAAGGTTGAAGTCAGGAAATAATCTCTCAAATGGAAAATTCAAGACAACGGGGAAACAAAGGCCCAAAGGATCAGTTAAAGGAAATGAAAATGGTTGTCGCTAAGGAGGCAGGGGAAAGGTGAGAAGCAGAAATAAACAGAGATTGCTGTTTTCTGTCAAAAAATATAGACCAACATAATCTTTATACAGACAATGCACATAAAAGGTACTATTTTTAAAATGAAACGTGAGCTGAGATGAATAGTCTGAGTTCAGGGGACCAGTTTGCATTTCTCACTCAAACCTTTTCATGAGGTCCTTTCTAATGAAATGCTCCCTAGCCATTCACTATGGGGGAGGAAAAGCGTTTTCACTTAGCCTGGTCTTTTCTTGAGAGTCACAATGACCGCATTAATTTGACAGTGTTTCATAAGCCTCCTTTGAACCTCAAACTGCCAGGCGTTCCAGGACTAGCAAAGGAAACGTTGACAAAGCACTATTACACACCACGGCCTGCGGAGGAAAAGATATTAGCCAGCATAAGGATACCTATGGTGGTGATGACTGTTCCAGCAAAGAAAAAGGCACTTCCAAGGTCCCAGTGGCTGCTGTTGTTGGACGAGTTTCCTATGGGGCTGACTCCCGCGTTATCAGCGTCAAGGGCGTGCTGCAAAGACAGTGAGAAGGCATCAGGCTTGCTGAGCAAGGACTGGCAATAGGTTTCAATAGCTTATCTCCCCCTCAATAACCTAACGTGATCTTCCAAGGCTGGTTAAGAAAGAGAACACAGCCATAAAGTGACTATTAGAAAATGAGTGTTAAGTGGGGGGGGAAATGAATATATATCTATATCA